TTGGCCCCAACGGCCTTCCATACTGAAGCGACTCCCCTCAGATTCAACACGCATGATCACGTTTATCAAATTTGCTTAAACTAAGCGTCCTAAAGTATTACTGTATTTCACAAGGATTCTGACACAACAACGCAAAGCATACGCTTTCAATGCGTTTAATGAGGAAACACGCTAAACTTGGAGGGCTCATGCTGAAAGGCAGAGTAATGCCCTGCCCTGTCTTTGACAGCTCGCGACTTCACCAGAGACGTTCTAAATACATTTACATAAGACACCAATACTCCAATTTTAATATGATTAAGATTATACTCTTATTAAAATTTTACCGTGTAGCCTTAAAAGGAACCTTACCTTACAGGAACACCGAGTCACGAAATGCAGAGGATTTTCTTTCTGTTCGCCATGCGGTATCAACTTACAACAGAAGTCGAAATTTAAAAATGAAACACCTGAAATTGCATGAAACTCTGGATAACCTGTGATGCAACTAATTGTTTTATACTGCAACTTGCCTTCAAAAAGTGCTTCCTTGGTCTTATCCACATTTATTGCATGTTGAACACACATCCACCACAACAGGAGGTTAAAAAAAACTGCAACTGCGTTAATTCTGTTAATTTTTTTTAACGCGTTAATTATTTACATATAATCGCATGTGTTAACGCGTTAATTTTGACAGTGCTAATACATATATATATATATATATATATTAAGGGTGTAACGATACGCATATTCGTATTGAACCGTTCGGTACAAGACTTTCTCAAAAGATGAATGAGAATAAGTACAACATATAATGTTTTCAGTGCAGCAACGCTCAACATGGCATCCCAAATCGCGTGGCAGACAACATGCCTTCCCTGCTGTCATGTTAAACAGTAGACCATGGCTTTTGAACTCAGAATATCACTTTATTAAAGCATGCACTCATTATAAATCTTGCTGCCTTCTGTGTCAGCCTGCTTGTGCTGGCTCTGCCCCCATTGCCCCAGCAACCCTGGACCCTGATACAAAACAGCCAATCTCAATAACCTGTTCACATATAACCACATTCGCCCACCTCCAAACACTATCCAGTCCGGCAAGCGCTACATTATTTTGCAAAATGGCTAGTAACATTAATGTAATCCCAGACATCCCAAGTCTCCAGGAAGTGCCAATGCATAGAGAATTCTCGATGCCCGCAAACGAATGATAATCTTCCGGAAACCGCGCGTCTCCCCCCGTTGCTTAAATGCAATGCACACCTCTCTCGACCACATCCCTCTCAGCTCTTCAGGTACGTTTGGCACAACTCACCCCCGCCCCTCAGGTACATCGCACGCACGAGCCTCCACTGCTCTTCAGATTCGTTACACACACACGCCCCCACCACTCTTTAGATACATCGCGCATCATCACCACCACCAAGAGAGTGCTGGAAAAAAACAATGACATCTGCTAAGACAGTAAGCTATTTTAGCAGTAACATTTCAGCATACCATTTCATTTACACTGACATCACGGAATCAGTAACTGGAACTGGAACAACACTCAGACAGACAATTCCTACAGATTCGAACCGGGCAAAACAAATCACAGAGGCGATCGGTACATTTATAGCTGTGCATATGAGGGATCTTAATCAGTAGTGGAAATTTCGGGTTTTAAGAAAATGTTAAATGTAATAGAACCCCGTTACATTATTCCTTCATAAGCCCATTTCAGTCAGATAATTCCTGCTTTCAGATCCAGTAAAAAGGCAGGTGACGGTCAAATCAACCAGATCTGTGCTGTCAGAAGATAAGGTGGACACTCATCTTTCTAAAAATAAAAAAAATACTTAAAAATTGATTGAAACTGAGTTCCTTATAATATATATATATATATATATATATATATATATATATATATATATATATATATATATATATATATATATATATATATATATATATATATATATATATATATATATATATATATATATATATATATATATATATATATATATATATATATATATATATATATATATATATATATATATATATATATATATATATATATATATATATATATATATATATACATATATACACATATATATTAGCGCTGTCAAAATTAACGCGTTAACGCATGCGATTAATTTTAAATAATTAACGCATTTAGTTTTCTGGAGCCAGGATAGCTCAGTCGGTAGAGCATCAGACTTTTAATCTGAGGGTCCAGGGTTCAAGTCCCTATTCGGGTGTGTGAGGCTCATTTTGTGGAGCCACAGCTTTTGCCGTTGAGCTATCGCTAGATGAAAGTTTCATCTGGATGCACAATATGTGTACTAGGCATGAAGAAATGGCAGTACAGGCAGTCGTGGCCAAGTGGTTAAGGCGATGGACTAGAAATACATTGTAGTCTCCCCGTGCAGGTGCGAATCCTGCCGACTGCGTCCTCCCCCTTTTTAAAATTGCAGCAGTCATCAATTGTTTGCATTTCCATTGTTTCTTGGGAAAAGCGTTGTGCTGGTAGGAGGAGAAAAACAACAAGTGTTCTCACTGAAGAGAAAGGGGCTTATGACAGGGAGGAACATACCACACAAGGGTCACAACGGCTGTCTCATAGCTCGCCGTGATCGTATAGTGGTTAGTACTCTGCGTTGTGGCCGCAGCAACCCCGGTTCGAATCGGGGTCACGGCAGGTTTTTCAAGGTGACATTGGCGTCGCATCCTGTGTTGCCATCCGTTATCTCCAGCCTTCTTTTAGTGCAGGCTGTGCTAATGGCACGTCCTGAATGTTTACGTTTCCTAAAGTGTGGAAGACTAGGGATATGATATAAGAGAAATAGGATCTTTGATGCCAGCATGCTGTGTAGATAAGTACTGATCAAGTCACGCTTCTAAGGCATGGAAGGAATCTTTTCAATTGTTGAGTGTCCATTCATTGCCACAACAGCAGAAAGACATTTTGCAGTTATCATTGATCTATTTAATGTCTCCTACATGACATGAAGTCCAAACTATTGTGTTGTACTGATGTCTACACCTACAAAAACCATAAACCCAACCTCAAAGTAACCTGTCGTGTTTTATCAACATCCACACCAACCATAAGCTTAAAACCCCATCTCAGGGTAAACTTTAGTGTACTGTAAAGGTCTGCGCCGACCACAACCCTAAACCTTGCCTAATTGTAAATTGTGTTGTGGAGCCCGGATAGCTCAGTCGGTAGAGCATCAGACTTTTAATCTGAGGGTCCAGGGTTCAAGTCCCTGTTCGGGTGTGTGGCGCTCATTTTGTGGAGCCACAGCTTTTGCCGTTGAGCTATCGCTTCATGAAAGTTTCATCTGGATGCACAATATGTGTACTAGGCATAAAGAAATGGCAGTACAGGCAGTCTTGTAGTCATGGCCGAGTGGTTAAGGCGATGGACTAGAAATCCATTGGGGTCTCCCCGCGCAGGTTCGAATCCTGCCGACTACGTCCTTCCCTATTTTTAAAATGCAGCAGTCATCAATTGTTTGCATTTCTATTGTATCTTGGGAAAAGCGTTGTGCTGGTAGGAGGAGAAAAACAAGTGTTCTCAATGAAGAGAAAGGGGCTTATCACAGGAAGGAACATACCACACAAGTGTCACAACGGCTGTCTTGTAGCTCGCCGTGATCGTATAGTGGTTAGCGCTTTGCGTTGTGGCTGCAGCAACCCCGGTTCGAATCCGGATCATGGCAGGTTTTTCAAAGTGACATTGGTGTTGCACTCTTTGTTGCCATCCGTTATCTCCAGCCTTCTTTTAGTGCAGGCTGAGCTAATGGCACGTTCTGAATGTTTACGTTTCCTAAAGTATGGAAGACTAGGGATATGATATAAGAGAAATAGGATCTTTGATGCCAGCATGCTGTGTAGATAAGTACTGATCAAGTCACGCTTCTAAGGCATGGAAGGAATCTTTTCAATTGTTGAGTGTCCATTCATTGCCACAACAGCAGAAAGACATTTTGCAGTTATCATTGATCTATTTAATGTCTCCTACATGACATGAAGTCCAAACTATTGTGCTGTACTGATGTCTACACCTACAACAACCATAAACCCAACCTCAAAGTAACCTGTCGTGTTTTATCAACATCCACACCAACCATAAGCTTAAAACCCCATCTCAGGGTAAACTTTAGTGTACTGTAAAGGTCTGCGCCGACCACAACCCTAAAGCTTGCCTAATTGTAAATTGTGTTGTGGAGCCCGGATAGCTCAGTCGGTAGAGCATCAGACTTTTAATCTGAGGGTCCAGGGTTCAAGTCCCTGTTCGGGCGTGTGAGGCTCATTTTGTGGAGCCACAGCTTTTGCCGTTGAGCTATCGCTTGATGAAAGTCTCTTCTGGATGCACAATATGTGTACTAGGCATAAAGAAATAGCAGTACAGGCAGTCTTGTAGTCGTGGCCGATTGGTTAAGGCGATGGACTAGAAGTCCATTGGGGTCTCCCCGCGCAGGTTTGAATCCTGCCGACTACGTCCTTCCCTTTTTTAAAAATGCAGCACTCATCAATTGTTTGCATTTCCATTGTTTCTTGGGAAAAGCGTTGTGCTGGTAGGAGAGGAAAAACAACAGTTCTCACTGAAGAGAAAGGGGCTTATCACAGCCAGGAACATACCACACAAGTGTCACAACGGCTGTCTTGTAGCTCGCCGTGATCGTATAGTGGTTAGTACTCTGCGTTGTGGCCGCAGCAACCCCGGTTCGAATCCGGGTCACGGCAGGTTTTTCAAAGTGACATTGGTGTTGCACTCTGTGTTGCCATCCGTTATCTCCGGCCTTCTTTTAGTGCAGGCTGTGCTAATGGCACGTTCTGAATGTTTACGTTTCCTAAAGTATGGAAGACTAGGGATATGATATAAGAGAAATAGGATCTTTGATGCCAGCATGAAATGGAGGGGTTCGTGGATGTATTAAATTTGGGTGTGAAACACAATAGGCAGTCGGTCAGAACTGAGTGAGATGGTTACTTAATTGAAGAGAGGCACTCAGGGTATTAGATGTGATTTTCATTTACTGAAGCACTTGGTATACAATGGAACATATGTGTGGTTTCTGAAACAAATAAACAATAAACAATAATCAATACAGATGTTTCACAATAAACATTAATAACTGAACAGCATACAACAAGTATAGCAAGAAAATAATGGCAAAGTAGATAATAAAGGCGCAATTCTCCGAGTGTCCACAAGAGCACATGAATGCCGCATGATGGCAGGGTCTTTGTCTGGGCATGTCCAGCTTGAATGATCACCGCATGTAGCCAATTATCGTCACATAACGCGCACATACGTGATATACTATAAACATACATCAGTAACATACTAAAATGTGTACATATGAACATATAACTACAACTTGTACTTAAACACTTGGTAATTCCTAAGTTTAAGCTGGTAATATAAGCAGTACTGTGCTAACAAGCTACTACAGGTGCTACGTGAACAACAGCTGATCTTCTGTCGATAATAACTTTATAAATAGTGATCACTTACTTTTAAGACACGCACACTGTAGCACAGTATACCAGTAGTGACTGTTTTGTCTCTTTTTGCCGAGTAAGTTCGATAGCAGGTGTTATCGCCAGCGTTATCTCCCGTGTGCACTGTCGCTCTCAACTAGTTCTTAGCTCAGCCCACCTCGATGATACTGCGTTGCATTGTGCACTGATTGGTTGGTGTCATCCGGGACGTAGACATCAGCGGTCCTTTTGCACAGCCGCCCCCGAATTCAGAACTGAATTCGCTCATCTGACAAAAGATCCATAACATGCATTATTCGTCCTCAGGTAGAGCTGGAAGCTGTATAAGTCGAGCCACAATACGGGTATAAGTCTTGCCCTTAACCTCCACATTAGCAGTCCGCACTCGACCATCTGCACCAGGGAACACTTGTGTGATTCTGCCCACTGGCCAAAGTGCACGAGGGAGTTGAGGATCAACTATCATGACTACATCCCCAATTTCTAATGTCCTCTTCTCGGTTTTCCACTTCTGCCGTGCCTGAAGGTCAGGTAGGTAGTATTTCAGAAAGTGCCTCCAGAAGTGCTCTGCAAGTAGTTGGCTGTGACGCCACCGCCGTCGACTTAGGATTTCTGAGTCCTCATAGACGACTTGGGGAAGTGACACATCTCTGCGACCAATTAAGAAGCAGAACGGGGTAATTGGGTCGAGATCAGCGACATCAGAGGAGGTATATCCTAAAGGCTTGGAGTTGAGGATACCTTCTACCTCAATCAGGACGGTCCTTAACACTTCCTCAGTAACTGTCTGGGCTCCAATTGTCACTTTAAGGGCTGCCTTGATCGAACGGATCTCCCTCTCCCAGCATCCACCAAAGTGAGGGGCACTTGGTGGGTTGTAGGTGAATTTAATTTGCTGAACAGCGAGATGGTTCTGTAGCTCACTTTGGAGAGCAGCAAAGGCCTCATTCAGTTCACGTTCTTCTCCCTTAAAATTAGTGCCTTGGTCACACAGTAACTCATGGGGGTTGCCTCTTCTGGCTATGAACCTTCTTAGAGCCATTAAGAATGAGTCAGAGTCAATACTAGAGAGAAGATCAAGATGGACTGCCCTTGTGGTCATACACTTGAAGACTATACCCCACCTCTTCTCATTACGTCGACCAATCTTAATAACGAAGGGGCCAAAACAGTCCATCCCAGTCGAGTAAAAGACAGGACGGAAGTATCTTTGTCTTGTAAGGGGTAAGTCTGCCATCAATGGGACCTCTGGGCGTCCTCTCCACTTCTTACACTCTGTACATTGGTGTTGGTATCGTCGGATGGCTTCACGACCTCTCAGTATCCAGTATGTCCTTCTGATTTCTGCAAACAACCGCTCCGTACCTGGATGATGCAGTCTCTCATCATGATCTCTAATGATTAACAGTGTGACTGGGTGCCGAGGATCAAGGACAACTGGGTGTATAGTATCTGCTTCCAAGACCTCACAATGCCGTAGCCGGCCTCCTACTCTAATAAGTCCAGTAGCAGCATCAAGTTCTGGGGAAAGAGTGAGTAGTCTGCTCTTCGATGATACTGATTTTCCAGACATCAATAGTCTCAGCTCTTCTGGAAAGGACTCGGCTTGTGCTTGACGGAGAACTGCACGTTGAACATCCTTTTGCAGTTCAGCACTGGAGGTATAGGCCGCCCCATGAAGCTCCTGTCCATAAGCATTCAGGCACTCTGTCAGGGTGTTGTAGTGCTGCAGTTTAGCTGAGGGAGCAGTAGTGGTTACTAAAACAGAGAAGGATGACTGTCTTAGTTCAGAGTTCGGCCCTTCTGCTGCTAAATGCGGCTGTTCTGGCCAGCTCTCTGAAGGGAGCTTAAGGAAAGATGGTCCTTGACTCCACCTGCTGTCTTTAGAGAGGTTTTGGAGAGATTTGCCTCTAGTGATGTCATCGGCCGGGTTGTCTGATGATCGAACATAGCGCCAGACAGCGGATGCAGTCATCTCTTGGATCTCAGCTACTCTTGTCCCCACAAATACCTTGTAACGGCAGGAGCTAGATGTCAACCACATAAGCACAGTGGTAGAGTCAGACCAGAGCGTAGTGGAGTGGATAGGAACTGTAAGCTCAGCGTTCAGGAGTTGGGATAGCTGTGCTCCACTTAAAGCAGCACACAACTCTAGTCTTGGTATAGATTGTTGCTTTCGGGGGGCAACACGGGACCTGGCAGCAACAAAGGCAACTTCTACTTCACCCTCCTTGTGCTCTATTCGCAGATAGGCCACTGACCCATACGCCTGCTCTGAAGCATCACAGAAGATGTGGATCTCATATTTACAAGATGCGTGATCTACTTCTGACAGAGTGTAGCACCTGGCTAAGGATATCTCCTCTAGTCCACTCAGTTCTTTCTCCCATTCATGCCATAAGGCGAGTAGATCCTCTGGCAGGTGTGGGTCGTCCCAGTCCCGTTTCTTGTCCCATAAACGCTGTACTAATATTTTAGCCCGGGTAGTGTATGGGATGATATATCCGAGAGGATCGTATTGACTTGCCAGTACTCTGTATATGTGGCGCATAGTCACTGGCGCAGAGCTCCTAGCTCTGTGTTTGTAGCGCAGTGTATCAGTTTGGCAATGCCACTGCAGTCCAAGCGTGGACTCATGGACATCTTGTTGGTCTTGGCTGAGCCACAGTTCGCAGGTACTAGATCTGGATTCTGGAGAAAGGTGAGTAATCACAGATGGACAATTGCTAGCCCATTGTCGAAGCTCAAATCCTCCACTGGCTAGGAGAGCACAAAGTCCGTCAACAAGGTCTTTAGCCTCTCTAGGAGAATGAAGACTGTGGAGGCAATTGTCGACATAGAATGATTTCTCAATTACCTCTCTAAATCGATCTCCCCGCTGACTGTGATTTATAACGTGAGTCTGCAGGGCATATGAGGCACAGCAGGGACTGCACGTGGTGCCAAAGGGAAGTACCTGCCACTGGTACACATCAGGGGGTAGATCAGGCTTTAAGTCTCGCCACAAAAATCGGAGCAAGGGCATGTCACCAGGGAGCAGCCTGACTTGGTGAAACATACCGCGAATGTCGCTACTTATAGCAACAGGGTGCTCTCGGAATCGAAGTAGCACTGCCAACAGTGATGGGCTTAATGTGGGGCCTGGCAGGAGAACGTCATTAAGGCTGTGGCCCTCAAATTGAAAGGAGCAGTTGTAGACGACTCTATTCTTATTATTGTGCTGCACCATATGGTGGGGGATGTACCAAGACTCTTTAGAGCAATCTGCTTCTCTTGGTTCTAGCTTAGCCACATAGCCTGCTTCCTTCAATCTAGTAATCTCAGCCTGGTAGGCAGATGCTTGCTTTGGGTTTTTTAGCAGCCTCCTCTCAACACTCCTAAGCTGAGGGAGAACGGCTTCCTTGGGCATGTTCAAACAAGGCATACTCTGCATTCGGAGGAGCGGTGTGGCATACCGCATGTGCCCTGTACTTCTACTCTCACAGTGTTCTCTTGCAACAGACTGATTGCTTCCTTGTCTAGCTTGGATCGTGTCACTATCTTGTTGTTGTGATAGGGTATCACATCCATCTGCCACAATCGCTCAACGTGAGCAAACAGGTCTGTGTTGGGTAATACAGAGGTAAAGAAGAACTGGTGTGTGCTAAGCTCACGACGGACCTCCTGTGTAGGACCTTGAAGAGTCCATCCCAAGCGGGTTTTAACTGTGGCTGGGCCCCCTGGTGGGCCAAGACGCACTGGCTCAACAGGCGAGAGGAGATGTGGGTAATCTGACCTAATCAACAATACAGGCTGCACTTTATCCATCTGTTGCAATGGGAGACCAGCTAGATGTCTATATTTCTTCTGTAAGAAAGCCACTGGATAAGTGTGTTCAGCAAGGCTCAGTCGTTCGGCTGTAAATGCATGCTGAATGTGATACTTCTTGTGGGGGTGAGACACCGGTGAGACTGTGAAGGAAACTGCTGTCCCATGAAGCACCTGCTGATCCTGTCTTACAGTGCGCAGTATGAGGTCTTCTGGCTGGCCCTGGAGTTTCAGCTGCTGAGCTGCAGCATGAAGTAGAATGGTCCTTTCTGACCCATCATCTAACACAGCAAAAGTCTCCATTGATGCATCTCCATTTGCAATGATTACTTTACTCACTTTCAAGAGCACTCTGCGGCTGCCAACTAAACGATCTGCATATAGGGTGCCCTTTGTGGTATTCACAAGACACGAGTTCTCCTTGGGTTCAGTCTCTTCACTAGTACTGACAACTCTCTCATTTAGATCATGCAATACAAGCAGGTGTTTTCTGTTGCACGTCTTACACAGAGCCTTTAATGTGCATCTGGATGCATGATGATTACGTCCACACCGCCAGCACCTATTATTCTTACGAATCCATGCCTCTTTCTGTTCCTTTGTTAGCTCTTTGAAGTTAAGACACCCATTGAGGAAGTGGCTGGAGTTGTCACAGTAAGGACAGTAGGCGTGTGACTTCTCTCTATTCTTAGTAGAACTGGGCTTGGAGTCTAACTTAGGTATTCAGCATTCAGTGGGGGCAGTAGGCTTTCCAGCACCTAGTAGAATATTTGTTGATCTCCCTGAAGGCTTGTGTTCATGACGACCTTCTCTCCGCTTGAAAGGTAAGGGTGGGGCATACATGACTGCTTTGGCAGTGTCATCTTGTACTTGGAGCTCGTATTCTAACCAGTCAGCAAAGTGTAGAAGTGTAGGGACTGTGATCCTTAAGGGATGGATATATCTCTTAAAACTGATTTGCAGCTCATGGGGAAGCTTGCTCTGGAGACGAGACACATGTGAGCCACAGTCCAATTCGGCGACTCCCTCTGGCCCCAATTGTTCCAACATACTCACTAATGATCGCACTCAAAGAGCAAAGAGCTTGAAAGATTTAACATCTCCTGACTTAAGGTTGGGACTTTCCAGCACTTCTGCGATACTCTGCAGAACGAGCTTGTGGGGCTGACCGTACATCTTAACCAGAGCGTGCATCGTGTCTGTGTAGGGTCTCACAGAATTACAGTAGGAGTCTGCCACCAGGAGAGCCTCTTCAAGCTCCAAATGATCTGTCAGAATCTGATACTTAAAACGTTCACTCGCATCTGCTGGCAGAATATTCTCCAGTGCCATACGTAGTCTGGAAAACTGTCTTGGGTCAGCTGCTGTCAAGCTGGGAATTGTAGGCTTAGGGCCTCGATAAATCTGCTCTTGGGTATGCAGCTTCTCCATCTTAGGCACTAACTCTGGGCGTGAGGCTGGACTGAATTCTCTTTCTGTCTGAAGATAATGGTATCTTGGACCAAGGGGCACATTTTCATAATGTCCTGTTCCTGAAGGCTGGGCTGAATATGTGTGTGCCCTCTGAGAATGTACACCATGACCATCAACTACATGTGACATCCTAGAAGTTAAAGTCATATCTCCCATTTGCTCTGTCAGCTGCTCATAACGGGCTGGTTGAGGAGTAGAAACTTCACCACTATGCGCTCTGGAGCTTCCATGACTAATGACTGAGGGTGGCAAGTGAGTGCGGGGAGCTGGTATTGGTGTCTGAATGCTGGGGCTATGCTGCTGGATCTCCTGTCTTAATGTAGCATTCTCCTCCTTGAGCCCTTGAAGCGCTGAAAGGATTTCTGGTAGAATGGAGCTACGGAGCTCGTCATTGTCCCTCTTCATCTGCATGCACATAGACTTTATATCAGAGGTCTGCTGGACTTGAAAGTGTTGCTTATCATACCCTGGCGATTCATATCCAGATGGCTCTGGCCGTACATCTTGGATTATTAGATCATCTGTGTATGAGGGCTGACTCGTCGGAGAAGATGATCGTGATACATTGGCTGACATGGGTGCGACTGCTTCATTGGCGTATTCACTCAGGCGATTAGATACTGGAGCTCTCTTCACAAAGCCTGATCCATGAACTTCATAATCTGCTAGATATGCAGGTTGTCTTATTTGTCGTCTAGGTCTGACAACAGGAGGATATGGCTCAGAATTCGACATCATCTCTCTACTGTGATTCACTCAATCCGGCTCGAAGGACCACTTGAAATGGAGGGGTTCGTGGATGTATTAAATTTGGGTGTGAAACACAATAGGCAGTCGGTCAGAACTGAGTGAGATGGTTACTTAATTGAAGAGAGGCACTCAGGGTATTAGATGTGATTTTCATTTACTGAAGCACTTGGTATACAATGGAACATATGTGTGGTTTCTGAAACAAATAAACAATAAACAATAATCAATACAGATGTTTCACAATAAACATTAATAACTGAACAGCATACAACAAGTATAGCAAGAAAATAATGGCAAAGTAGATAATAAAGGCGCAATTCTCCGAGTGTCCACAAGAGGGCGCCAAGAGCACATGAATGCCGCATGATGGCAGGGTCTTTGTCTGGGCATGTCCAGCTTGAATGATCACCGCATGTAGCCAATTATCGTCACATAACGCGCACATACGTGATATACTATAAACATACATCTGTAACATACTAAAATGTGTACATATGAACATATAACTACAACTTGTACTTAAACACTTGGTAATTCCTAAGTTTAAGCTGGTAATATAAGCAGTACTGTGCCAACAAGCTACTACAGGTGCTACGTGAACAACAGCTGATCTTCTGTCGATAATAACTTTATAAATAGTGATCACTTACTTTTAAGACACGCACACTGTAGCACAGTATACCAGTAGTGACTGTTTTGTCTCTTTTTGCCGAGTAAGTTCGATAGCAGGTGTTATCGCCAGCGTTATCTCCCGTGTGCACTGTCGCTCTCAACTAGTTCTTAGCTCAGCCCACCTCGATGATACTGCGTTGCATAGTGCACTGATTGGTTGGTGTCATCCGGGACGTAGACATCAGCGGTCCTTTTGCACACAGCATGCTGTGTAGATAAGTACTGATCAAGTCACGCTTCTAAGGCATGGAAGGAATCTTTTCAATTGTTGAGTGTCCATTCATTGCCACAAGAGCAGAAAGACATTCTGCAGTTTTCATTGATCTATTTAATGTCTCCTACATGACATGGAGTCCAAACTATTGTGTTGTACTGATGTCTACACCTACAACAACCATAAACCCAACCTCAAAGTAACCTGTCGTGTTTTAGCAACATCCACACCAACCATAAGCTTAAAACCCCATCTCACGGTAAACTTTAGTGTACTGTAAAGGTCTGCGCTGACCACAACCCTAAACCTTGCCTACTCGTGAAATACTGGTGACGAGCCCGGATAGCTCAGTCGGTAGAGCATGAGACTTTTAATCTGAGGGTCCAGGGTTCAAATCCCTGTTCGCGCGTGTGATGCTCATTTTGTGGAGCCACAGCTTTTGCCGTTGAGCTATCGCTTGATGAAAGTTTCATCTGGATGCACAATATGTGTACTAGGTATGAAGAAATGGCTGTACAGGCAGTCTTGTAGTCGTGGCCGAGTGGTTAAGGCGATGGACTAGAAATCCATTGGGGTCTCCCCGCGCAGGTTCGAATCCTGCCGACTACGTCCTTCCCTTTTTTAAAAATGCAGCAGTCATCAATTGTTTGCATTTCCATTGTTTCTTGAGAAAAGCGTTGTGCTGGTAGGAGAAAAACAACAGTGTTCTCACTGAAGAGAAAGGGGCTTATCACAGGGAGGAACATACCACGCAAGGGTCACAATGTCTGTCTCGTAGCTTGCCGTGATCTTATAGTGCTTAGTACTCTGCGTTGTGGCCGCTGCAACTCCGGTTCGAATCTGGGTCACGGCAGGTTTTTCAAAGTGACATTGGTGTTGCACTCTGTGTTGCCATCCGTTATATCCAGCCTTCTTTTAGTGCAGGCTGTGCTAATGGCACGTTCTGAATGTTTACGTTTCCTAAAGTATGGAAGACTAGGGATATGATATAAGAGAAATAGGATCTTTGATGCCAGCATGCTGTGTAGATAAGTACTGATCAAGTCACGCTTCTAAGGCATGGAAGGAATCTTTTCAATTGTTGAGTGTCCATTCATTGCCACAACAGCAGAAAGACCTTCTGCAGTTATCATTGATCTATTTAATGTCCCCTACATGACATGAAGTCCAAACTATTGTGTTGTACTGATGTCTACACCTACAACAACCATAAACCCAACCTCAAAGTAACCTGTCGTGTTTTAACAACATCCACACCAACCATAAGCTTAAAACCCCATCTCTTGGTAAACTTTAGCGTACTGTAAAGGTCTGCGCTGACCACAACCCTAAACCTTGCCTTATCGTGAAATATTGTTGATGAGCCCGGATAGCTCAGTCGGTAGAGCATCAGACTTTTAATCTGAGGGTCCAGGGTTCAAGTCCCTGTTCGGGCGTGTGATGCTCATTTTGTGGAGCCACAGCTTTTGCCGTTGAGCTATCGCTTGATGAAAGTTTCATCTGGATACACAATATGTGTACTAGGTATGAAGAAATGGCAGTACAGGCAGTCTTGTAGACGTGGCCGAGTGGTTAAGGCGATGGACTAGAAATCCATTGGGGTCTCCCCGCGCAGGTTCGAATCCTGCCGACCACGTCCTTCCCTTTTTTAAAAATGCAGCACTCATCAATTGTTTGCATTTCCATTGTTTCTTGAGAAAAGCGTTGTGCTGGTAGTAGGAGAAAAACAACAGTGTTCTCACTGAAGAGAAAGGGGCTTATCACAGGGAGGAACATACCACGCAAGGGTCACAATGTCTGTCTCGTAGCTTGCCGTGATCTTATAGTGGTTAGTACTCTGCGTTGTGGCCGCAGCAACCCTGGTTCGAATCTGGGTCACGGCAGGTTTTTCAAAGTGACATTGGTGTTGCACTCTGTGTTGCCATCCGTTATATCCAGCCTTCTTTTAGTGCAGGCTGTGCTAATGGCACGTTCTGAATGTTTACGTTTCCTAAAGTATGGAAGACTAGGGATATGATATAAGAGAAATAGGATCTTTGATGCCAGCATGCTGTGTAGATAAGTACTGATCAAGTCACGCTTCTAAGGCATGGAAGGAATCTTTTCAATTGTTGAGTGTCCATTCATTGCCACAACAGCAGAAAGACCTTCTGCAGTTATCATTGATCTATTTAATGTCCCCTACATGACATGAAGTCCAAACTATTGTGTTGTACTGATGTCTACACCTACAACAACCATAAACCCAACCTCAAAGTAACCTGTCGTGTTTTAACAACATCCACACCAACCATAAGCTTAAAACCCCATCTCTTGGTAAACTTTAGCGTACTGTAAAGGTCTGCGCTGACCACAACCCTAAACCTTGCCTACTCGTGAAATATTGTTGATGAGCCTGGATAGCTCAGTCGGTAGAGCATCAGACTTTTAATCTGAGGGTCCAGGGTTCAAGTCCCTGTTCGGGCGTGTGATGCTCATTTTGTGGAGCCACAGCTTTTGCCGTTGAGCTATCGCTTGATGAAAGTTTCTGGATGCACAATATGTGTACTAGGCATGAAGAAATGGCAGTACAAGCAGTCTTGTAGTTGTGGCCGAGTGGTTAAGGTGATGGACTAGAAATCCATTGGGGTCTCGCCGCGCAGGTTCGAATTCTACCGACTACGTCCTTCCCTTTTTTAAAATGCAGCACTCATCAATTGTTTGCGCTTCCATTGTTTCTTGGGAAAAGCATTGTTCTGGTAGGAGGAGAAAAACAACAGTTCTCACTGAAGAGAAAGGGGCTTATCACAGGCAGGAACATACCACACAAGTGTCACAACGGCTGTCTTGTAGCTCGCCGTGATCGTATAGTGGTTAGTACTCTGCGTTGTGGCCGCAGCAACCCCGGTCCGGGTCATGTAGTGAATTCGACTACTCATCAATTAGAAATTATCAGACCGGAGGTTTTGAAAATCAGAATATATACTTTATTCTCCATAATAAAGCCAAGAAAGAGCAGAGCAGACCCCAGAGCATTCTGAAGTCTCTCCTGGACACCTTCTAAAGTATCTGTGTTCTCCATAATCTTTATACAGGTAATTATGACACACCCCTTTGTGTCTCTTTTTAACTCTTGACCATTTTTGAATAGGTTTTCTAGTCTAAGGGGTCCTGCTATTCTTGGCTCTTAGCCCACTAGCTCATGTAAACAGAGATGTTACAGGTCTATGTCAGCAAAGTATAGATCCAACTTATGCAAAGGAACTAAGTGTTTACATACATTGTTATGATAGGATAATAACTTGATAATATGTTACTCATTCTAACTTCTGCCACATATAGCTTCATACAAGTATTTAACATATATAATCAGTGCTTTACATATTCAGTTATTCTACACATTCAGTCACTCAGTTTTCTCCTAGTGTTGCTCCTGTGCAGGCATACTCATCTTACACAGTATTTTTAACACATGCTGGCATGTTTGCTGCAAACACTACATACATTTTGTGAAGAGAAAATTAACTGCTTTACACTTAGAAAATACTTCACACTGAGAGAATAAAATCTTCTTCAAATTTATATACACTGAAGAAAGACCTTGATACTCTTAATGTGGAGACGGACAAAGGTGCCTTTAATAAGGTCAAGTGGCCAGAATTTGGAGAAAATAATTCAACCTATTTTTCTTAATTCAGAAAAGAGAAGAGGTGAGCAGAAAAGGACATCAACCCTTGATATTAATGGTCACCTCATCTTAGATGAAGGAACAATATTAAAGTTTGTATATGAGTTTTCCCAGTCTTACTTCTTCCTTTCAGCCAAATTGCTCTGATCAATTATTTTGTAATGTTCAGTCATTTATTCCAACCATTAGTGACGATCATCATGATGTTTGAGAGACTGTAATACCTGTAGAGGAATTGGACACTATAATTACAGTAAACCCATTTAATAAAAGCCCAGTACCAGATGGTTTGCCATTTGAACTGTATAGGCTGTTTGGTAATGTTGAATATGTTCAAAGAAAGCTCAGATAGAGGAGGATTAGCTGAATCAATGAAGCAAGGCATAATCACACTGATCCCTAAACCAAATAAGGAGAAACCTTTTCTTGATAACTGGCTTCCCGTAACTCTGCTTAATTCTGATTATTCAATTCTCACCGCAGTATATGCTAGAAGATTAAACACATTTCACTCTCACAATCAGGTTTCATGACAGATTGACATGTTTCAATAATATCCGTCTTGTTTTAGACCTTTTAGATTGCTCAGAGTTGGTGAACGATGATGCTCTCATTTTGTGTTTAGACTTTTACAAGGCCTTCGACACTGTCGAGCATCCCTTCATCCAGACACTTTGAAGCATTTTGGCTTTAGTCAAGAGTTTTTGAGAACTGTTTAGACTCTGTATAAAGACTTCACTAGCTTCTCCACGTTTTGTCATTGGAAGAGGAATCAGACAAGGTTGTACTGTTTCCCCTTTTCAGTTTCTGGTGGTTGCAGAGCTTCTTCATCTTTATGTGGTCAATTGCTCAAATGTTGAAGGTGTTCAAATAGTGCAGATGATGCATGTGTCTCTATACATAATAAAAACAAGTCCCTGAAATATCACAGCCATTACAATGATTGTCGAATGCTTCTGGCCTTTCTGTTAATCAGAAAAATCTGTTGACAATTCTTCATTCTGATATCTTAGATGTTTGTGGAATTAAGGTCAGGCACACCATCACATATTGAGGTATTACAATTAATAAATGTTCTTCTGAAAGGATCAGAACTTTTCTAAATGTTTAAAGAAAGTCAAAACTGTGTTTAATTGCTGGTCTCAGAGGAACCCGACTATCGATGGACGTCTTCTACTTTCCAAAGCTGAAGGAATATCAAGGCTGGTTTATCCCGCTCTCTCCTTACAGCATATGCTAATCCCGAAATGTGTACAGAGATTGATAGGGCTGTATTTCAGTTCATCTGGAAAAACAGGACAGAATATGTCAAAAGAA